AACCCAAAATCTAAATTTTGTCCAGAATTTTAAGTTCATCTCTTTAATCTACATCTAATGGTAAAGGCATTATCATCACGATCAACAAATTTCAGCGAATAACTTTTCCAAACACATTAAGTTATATAGCGGCAACTAATGAATTTCGTGACTCGCACAAACAACGTGAGTTTTTTCAAAAAAAAAAAAAGAACCGGGACTGAAACTAAACAACTTAAAAGCTACTAAAATACTAACTCCTTGTTATTATCTTATACCACATTCACCCAACGCTTGAGCATGTTTTAATGCTATTTCGTTAAAAACAGTTTAAGCTGCTTAAAACGATGTTCGTCGGCTTCAAATTTAGCACATTGAAAATACAAGTTATTGACTGCTTAAATCCTTTATAAAATTCAAATTTGCAGTTCTCAGATTCGTATTTTTGTTCAGTTAAACCTGGTGTAGCTAAAACATGTTTTGCTGGTGTGGATGGGGTATTAATTTTAATCATTGAAGTCGCATCAACACTATTCACACATGGGCCCCTGGGCGGTTTTTCGTCGCCCACAGTGTTGGCTTCAAGAAATTCTAACTATCTTTTAGAAGAGAATATGGCCTATTGAAAAAATGCTAGACTTTGAGCCGTGATTTCGTGATCGGATAATACTTCGCGAGACTTACAATTTGCTAGGGTACCATTCACTGCCCTCCTTTGTGCAAACTTTTTTCAACAAATACTAGCACTACACCACGACTTGTTCAAAACATTGTTATACTGACTTACTAATGGCGCAGAAGGCCTGACTTTGCTGACATTTCGATCCTGAACAAGCTCAATTGAAGATATACCTTCGCCTTGACGATCACACTATGTGATTGACTACAGCTAAAAGTCGGTTGAATTACTCAAGTTAAGTGCTATTCTTCAGTTATTAAAAGACTGCAATTCAACTGTCCACACATTTCCGGCACCACCTACATTAACATGTGAGCCCTTCTTTGTAAAGTTTCCATCGTCTGCATGTGGAAAAATGGTGTTCATCCTCCTCTTCAATCGCTCTCTAATCTGTAGATGAACAGGTAACCAAATGTCTGTTGTTAAGCAATCAAATGTTTAACTTGTGTTTGAAAACTTCACAATTCGCTTTCATTATGTACATTCTCAGTCTGATATCCATCTCACCTGTCTGTTTCGCACACAGTGAAGGACGAAAATCAGGAAACCCTGAAAACAGATGATTCTTTCAAGATCAATTTTTTTTCATTATAATTGGTCAGTATAATAATGTTTTAAACAAGTCGTAGGGTAGGGCTAGTCTTTGATGACAAAGTTTGCATAGAGTTCAAGGTGTATGATGCTCTTATCATTTGTTCATCTTTGAAACCGCCGTAACGTAGGGGTAAAATATTGATTCAAAGTACTTTACAGATCTCATGAATTGAGAAATAACTTATCATATCGATTAGAATAATGTTGAATGGGAAATATCATCTGAATAAAGTTAGTGTCTGTTTTTACCTGAGGTGTAGTTTGAGCGCCTAAGTATGCAAACCTTTGATTCAAATTTAAAAATTTCTGTTAAAAGCTTACCTGAGTGGAGTTTAAGATGGTGAAAATGTAGGCGAAAGCTTTGTGTAAGGGTAACAAAAGACCAAATAACCACGTGACACCCAGCAGTGGCACCATCACCGCGCATGTTTTAATGCCAAGACTAAAGAACGACAGCCATATAAGTTTTGTGGATTAATTTATAGAAGGGTTTTTTCTTCACTTAATGTCTCATTGTTTAATTGAGATTAACTAGGGTGGATTTGGGAAAATCCATACCTCAGAAAAAGTTGACCCAACGATTCCTTCACATTGCTTTACCCTGCTTTCCATTATTTTTATTTATAAGTATTAATTTGTAAAATGCTGATTTCAAATCCCACCGTATCTGCCGGAAGCGCTTGTCTTCCACCATTGGCTGCGCTAATGTGGTCATCTCTTTAACGACCAGGATGAGTATCAAAATGTTGAACTTGAAAAAAGAAAGAAATGTGAAATGTGTCGTCGAAAAAAAGAAAAAAATTTAGCCGTCTTGTTACGAGCGTTAGAGAAAGAAAAAGTCTGAATCCCTCTCTGTGAATTAAACCCCAAATCTTCATATAAGAAGGACCCAATGGTACGCATTCCTGCAAACTGCTACGATAAGAAATGCCGAATAAATTATGCTGGTAATTATAATAGGGAAGATTGCAAACTTTGGGTCAGGTCGTCAATAAGAGAAAGGTGTTCAAGTTTTTTTTAAGGAGCAGGGGAAAAAAGAAGTATCCAATATTAGTCAATCCCGGTAAATAAAAGTGATAACGTGGCTTCAATCAATTATAAACTCACAACTTCAATGAGCGCCACAAATGCGACGAATATCCAGATCAAGTTGTTAGTCGAGGACAGCCAACAACTTGAAAGGTAAAAAGAGAACACACAATAAACACAGATTTGCGGCGATAAAACCCCTAACCCACACCCTTTATCGGTAACGAAACATCTAGAGGAGAAACAGAATAAAAACAACAAATATTTTGTAGCGAAAAGAGAGAGAGTGGGAAGACACAAAAGATGAAGAGACAAGTACTCAATAATTATCTTACCATTTGTCACTGGTATAACTTTGAATTCCATCTTTTCCAGCCGCAACGCTCAGTGAAAGGCCTACCATGACGATCGGAAAACCTAAACAGAAATAGGAGGGGGTCAATACAGAATCACACACAGAATCACAGAGGAGATTCAAAAGAGGCAGGTACAAAAAACTCATAAGTGAAATGAAAGTACCCCATGAGATGACGTGATACGTGTGCATCTTTTCGCCAATGTTATAAACTTTCACAACAAACAGATAAAGATAAACTCCCTCGACCATCATCCAACAGAAAGCGGCCATCAGGAAATATTGCGAGAGAGCTGCTGCTGTAACACAGGAAGCCTAAGAGATAAAAAAGAGAGCCGGGTTTTTGTCTGTTCTAATCCTCCTTTCTTCAGAATAACTTAAGCCGCTAAAGAGAAAATATACCGTAAATGAATGAAGACGTCACCTACTGTGTTCTCTGTGACCTTTATACCGGCGAGAAAGATTATTTGACCAGCTCCGAGTGACACAGAAAGACTCAATCTTATTTGAGAAAGAGGCTTTCGAACATCTCTGGTGAAACAAGCAAAAAAACAAAAAGACAAACAACAGAAAAGAAGCATTATATGACAACGCATGCGTCTAATTTCATGTGGTACTTTTCCAGCTAAGGAATTTGAATCACTGTCGCTAAGAGGTCGAGATTTGATTCATCTTTATTCGTTTCTGCCGTAATTATTTATAATTAATTTCATTAATTCATTTTTTTTATCGCGTATTGATGTAATTTAAGTCCGAAATCTTTATTTAAAATCAAATAAAGAATAAGTTCTTTAGACGTATGCATGGTTGAGGTACTTACGTGATGAAGGAATACACAATAACTGTCAAAAGTATTCCGGTGATGGAAAAGCCTAATCCCACTTTGGTGATAATTTGCAGAATAGTCTCGTCCTCGGCCGTAAGCTGTGTCACAAATGACATAAAGAGAAATAAGAAAATTGTTATCAAATCAACGGAATTGTACCTATGATGAAACTGAGAAGATAAAATCATTACCCCTGGAATACTATCGTAGGTAACTAAGACAGCAAAATGAGAGAAATGACTGCAGCTGCAAACTGTTTCTTCTGAGTTGCTTTTCGATGTAACCACATAGCATCCTCTCCCTGAGAACTCTTCTGAACTAAAAAAAAAGAATAAAAAAGTGGTGAACAAGAAAAAGAAATGACCTCAAAAACCATCGAGGAACTGAAAGGTTAGACAAGCGGGTTTTTTTTTTCATTTTAATGTTTTTCCTGTTCGCGAGATCTGATTAGTCGGAATGTGCTTTTTCTCACTGACAACTTATCTATGATGGTAGCAATTGCCTATGCCCAGGAAAAAGGCCTTTCAAGCATGATACTTAACAAATTTAAAATCCACGAAACTATTTCTTCCGAATCAAGGCTAGTAATATATTCCAGCTTCTTACCTCTCGCTGAGGCCACTCCAAAACATGCATTTCTTCTCCCCTTTATCGACCTAAAAAATATGATCTCTTAGGAATAAATTAAGATAACCTAAAAACCGTTTACGGTCGTTAGAGGAAGCAAATATACGTCTGGATGATAAACCCTAACGAACATAAAGTACTAAAAAGTTCATCTTTCACAAGTTCATTCAAATACTTGGAACGCGATTGCCTAATTACACATAAGCAGCTCGCGTACCACACGTACTTACGGAGATGCAATCTCTTATCTTAGGAAGCTTTCTTAACCTCTCGTTATCGGACTGGATGACGGTTTAAAACAACCAAATGTATCCTTCACTACTTTGTATCGAAACGACATGTATCGAAATAACTTTCTACTTATACCGAATCGAGTTTATCAATGTATCGAGACGATTTTACATCGAAACGACCGGTTGCCACATACTAATTTTGATCTTGCTTTTACATCCAGGTTTCTGAACTTTAAGACGACATTTTCTTGCAGCTTGTCTGGGTTTGGAGCCATTGCTACGGCCATTATCCTGGAACCCAAATGCCTGAAAAAAA